AATGAATTTAATTTTGAATCTCAAGTGGAGAGGCTGATGGATTTCTTTTTTGTCCCAAAACTCAGGGTGTTTTTTGTTATTATGGTAAAATAAACATTAAATCTGTCATAAGTATTTCACAGTGCTGATTCTCTGGCACATTATTATATTCACAGTGATATTTAGTCACTACCATTATGTAGTTTCACAGTTGGATGAGCTTTTCCGTAAGTGTATTCACCTGTATGGATGCTGTCTAGATTCAAAAACTAAAACCTCATTATTCTGAAAGCTTCTGTCTTGCCATTTATCTATTAATACCCCCACCCACACCACATGGGAACCTCTCTTCTGACTTCATATAATGGAATAGTTTTGTTTGAGTTTCACAGGGCTCATATGAATCAAATCATCAGTTAATGTTTGGATTATCTCACTTAATATCTGTGAAATTCATCTTTGTTATTATGTGAGAATCTGAAGTTCTTTTTTGTTGCTGAGTAGTATTCCATTTATATGCATTTATCATAGTTTGTTCTGTTGATTGATATTTGGGTTATTTTCAGATTTCTCGCTATTGTGAATAAAGCTGGTATGAAAATTGCTTACAAAAAATAATAATAATTGGGTTTTTTTGGTACCAGGGATCGAACTCGGGACCTTCCACTTTCGAGGCAGGCGGTGGAACCACTGAGCTAAATCCCAGGCTGAACAATTGTTTTTCAAATGTCAAGAACCAAAGGGGAAGATTCTAAATATCATAGCTCGAGAGCATGTGAAACAAATTTTGTGGGAACTGTCCAGTTCCAGTGGAGAGTGACGCTTTATCTCTAATCTCTACTCGTGGCATCTTCTGCCAGTTGGAAATTAGTTACAAATGCTCATTTAGAATGCCTTTGGCACTGCTTTTGTTTTTCTTATGCATGATGGAATGCAAGCCTCCAATATTTACTTCTGACTACATTCTTGCTTAGTGAAACATCTTATCTTTCTGTGCACACACACAAAAACACACATGCCCACCAATATTGTAATCCTAGACATGAAGTTGTGTTTTTCATTCACACTGAGGTAGTCAAATTTAGAGTATACTGAAGAGATATGTAAGAACTCGTGTGTGTATATGTGTAAGTGACATGTGTGTGCATGTGTGCACATGTGTACCTGCGTGTGTGTGTGTGTGTGTTCCTGGGGTGAGGCACAGAAGAGGACAAAGTCTGACCCCTCTGGAGCTGCACCCCACAATGAAGACCAGGACTTGCAGGGGGACCACTGTAGTCCCCAGAGAGCTGGCCCATGTGCCCTCTGGCTAATGGTCTACAGTGTCCTGGGGTGGGGGGTTGTAGCAACAGTGGCATCCATACCCAAGGTACAGCAGGAGCAGGCAGGGATGCAGATGGCCATTACTGTTCCTTCCCTCCCACACTGCTGCCCTTCACTCTGGTGCTCCCAATCCCTGTCTCGTGCCAGTGCCCAAGGCTTGAATTGAGTCCACAGGTGAGGGCAGCAGGGGTGGGCCTGCCACCCTTCTCTGGTCCTGCTTATTGCATTACATGCCTGAACTCCAGTCTGACTCTTCCTGTGACTGGGAGAGGGTTGGACCTCAACTCTGAGGAACCCCTGGCAGGCTGAGCTCCCTGCCCCCCAGGGCCTGGCTCTTCTTGTCTCCCTGAGTGGCCTCCCAGCACACTCACCCCTGTGGTTGACAATTAGGTTTGGCCATAGGAAGAATTATCTGGAGGCTCAGAAACAAGGGCCCCTGACAGGCTTGCAGCCCAGACAGACCCAGCACTGGGGGGCCCATGCTGGTGGAAGATGTCGACCATGCAGCAGCCTGGTCTGCAGCCCAGCTCTGAGCAGTATGGGGCCAAGCCAGTTCCTGGTTTTATCTCAGTAGCCAGCTGGGCACCAGCAACAGGAAGCCACTAGCCAAGTACCAAGGGCTGGCGTGGTCTTAGTGGGCCTTGAACACCCACCCAGAGAGCATATCTCTGGCCATATCTCAAATGCATCCTGAGGTCAGCCCTGAATTCTTCAGTTGGAGAAATAGGACTATAGAAAAGAATTTAACAGAAAACAGGGCAGGCATGCTTTGTTCTGTGTGCAGTGTGCGTGTCTGAGTATCCTGAGTGAACATTAGAGATGCTTGTTAATTCAGATGCCTCAGAGTCCCTGACCTTGAACAAACCTGTGCTGAGGTCCACCATCCCTGGGCACCATGCCTCTACCCACCTCTCCCACCTCAAGAGTTCTGCTCAGGGTGTCCTTGGCCTCAAGCCCTCACTGCACACACCCCTGGCTGGTCCTTATGCCATATGGATTCTCTTTTACCCAAAGTACCCAAGGTCTCTTTAGGACATGCTCTAACAATCCAGGTAATTTTAAAGTTGTGTTTTTTGTCTTTTTGTTTTTTGGTACCAGGGATCAAACTCGGGATATTGCACTTGCAAGGGAAGTGGCAGAATCACTGAGCTAAATCCCCATCCCCTAGATTTTTTAAGTCAAGATATAGTTCTAGTCATTTTCTTGGGGCAGAGACACAGTTCTGAACACATACAACTTCAAGGAGGAGAGGTTTATTTTGCTCACAGTTTTAGACCATGGTTGTCAGGCTCCATGGTAGAAATGGAATTGTAGAAGGGTTTGAAGGAGGAAAGCTGCTCACCTCATGGTGGTCAGGAAGCAGAGTGAGAGAAGGGAGGAGCCAGGGTCAAGAACACATCCTTCCAGGTCATGCCCCCATGAGTTGCCTCTTCCAACCAGGCCACAATTCCAAGCATGAGACTTTGGAGGGGGAACATTTTAGACCCAAACCATAATAGATATAGAAAAGGATAATGAGGGAGGTGGAATTTGTTCTGGGGACTAGTTCGTAGGAAGAGGTCATTGTCATCTGTCAGGCGGGAAATGTAGGTTTGGCTGTGTTGGAAAATATTCTTTGCTTTTAGAGATTCACACTAAAATCTTAGAGATGGAATATTAAGTTTCCTGTAATTGTGCTAAAAGGAGCTCATTTGCAAAAGCATAAATTTAATCATATTTGAAAGACCTATTTGGGGGCAGATAGGCCTGGACTGCTGTCTTCAAGAGAAAAATATGTAACAACTGGGATCTGATGTTGGCCCAGACCTCATGGAGATGGTGAGATCTCTCTGTATTCTCAGCATCTAGGGAGCCGCTTGGTGCCCAGGACAGTGCTGGGGCCTCAGCTGGTTGTGCCTCAGCCACCATGGTTGGTGGCCACCTGTCCTCAGCTCTTGGGTCCCCAGATCCCTTCCTGCTGCCTTCCCTGGGCCTCTGTACCAGGCCTCTTTTCTCAGGAGGAACCCAGCTGACTCCTCTGCAGAGTCAGATCTGGAATCCGATGCATGGTGAGGTTGTCCTGCATGGACCCAGGGCCCTTTGAGGATGTCTTGGGTTCAGGAGTAGAGGAAGCTGAGGCACCAGAATGGTTCTGTAAAACGTCATCACCTCACTGTCATCTTCAACATCAGCTCCTGGTGCACATGGTGGGTGCCATGGTGCTTGGAACCTGTACCTAGGGTAAGGAACAGGGACTTTGGAGGTGTGATTAGGTTAAGCATCTGAGATGGGGTGACAGCCTGGATTACCTGGGTAGCCCAGCAATCACATGGGTCCTTTCCCGGCAGTGGTCAGAGCTCTGCTGCCCTGAGCAGGGTGTGCAGCTGTTATTGCCTTTGAAGGTGGAGTGTATATACAACTTTCCATTGCTGTAAGAAGACATCAAGATGATCACTTATAAAGAGGAAAGTTTGACTTTGGCTCATGGTTTTGGAGCTTTCCACCCACGACCCATCAGCCTGGGCCTGTGGTGAAGCACCGTGGTGGGAGGTGAAGTGGACACAGCTGCTCACCTCACGGAGGCTGGGAAGGAAAAGAGAACAAGACACTGGGCTCCCAGTAGCTGCAAGAACAAGCCCCATGCGACTGGGAGACCCCAGTGAAGCCCTGTCCCTTAAAGGTTCGTCCACTTCCTGACAGTACCATGGACTGGAGACTGAGCCTGCCCTCCACAGGCCTTGGGACACTGGTCCACATCACAGTACAGGGAACAAGGACCTGAGCCACATAGCCCTTCCTGCTGGATAAGGCAAGAAAATAGGCCCTCTCCTAGCTCTCTAGCAGGAAGGTGGTTGGGCCAGCACCCGCTGCTTGCCCAGTGAGGGCACATCAGACACCCATGTGTGAACCACCCAGTCTGCGTAGTCTGTTCTGGGCTACATGCCTCACTCCGTGGGTGGGTGCTAGGGGCAGGCCGACTGCACAGTGGTGGATGGAGGTGTACAAGCTGCCACCCTTTTGTTTGCACAGATCCCTGCTCCTTCCCACCTTTTCCTCAAAACTCACAGCACACAGCCATCTTGGCTCCTCCTCCCCTGGGGAAGGGGTGGCTTGGGGCCCCCAGTGGCCTTTCACGCCTCTCAGTTACTTGGGACTCCTTTGTTCTCTAGGACCTGAAAGTCATTTTCTTTGGAAGGAACAGAGCAGAAGGGAATGTAACTCCAGAATCTTCCATCCTGGGTAGCTGGTGCATCTAGCACTGCTGAGAGAGACAAGAATTAATATGGAAGCACTCACCCACCCCTCATCCTCTCTGGCCTGTCGGTCACCTGGAATCTCTTGCATCCCATTTTCTGCAGCTCTGAGCCTGATGGGGTTTTTGAAATGCACCCAGCAACCCTCCAAGTGAGCTCCAAATGCAGCTCCAACCTACCACAGCCCCCATTGGAAGGTCTGGCTATTTTCCTAACACATAGGGTAATGATGGACAGAAGAGCAAAAACTTCAGGTATACAAACTCTGTGCCTGTCCTGTCCAGAGAGTGGAGCTGCATTAACGGTGGGGCTGAAGCTGCCTGGGCAGACATGGCTCAGAGGAAGGCTGCTTGTTAGTGGAGGGCTCTCTGCCTTCTAACTGGCTCTGTTCCCATCTCCACTTGTTCCAGTGGCCACCTTGTTCTCTTCCCAAAGGTGAGTGGTGCTGGAAGGGGAGTACTTGTTCCTTTTTTCTTCCAAATAATATAATTAAAATAATTTCACAATGCTAACACATAGCAAATGCTCATTCACTGTCAGCTCTTATTATAATCATTGCTTTAAGCTATTATCATTTTTAAAAATTTTATTTTATTGGTACATTTTAGGTATAATAATGACATTCATCATTGGAAATTTGCACCTTTATGTAATCTCTCTTGGTTCTTATTTTTCCCCTTTCCACTGCCCTCCCTTCAAACCCTCCATCCCTCCCTATTTACAAAGACTTTGTTTCCATTTTTTCATTTTCACATATTAATTCCAT